CCCCTTATGGCCCCTAATTACGTAACATATGATCCAAATTTTATAATATATAGTTGCAGATTGTTAAGATGAACATTTTTGCTTCAGTAATTTATAACAAAATATTGATCATTAAAGAGTTATAGATGAAAGAGTTTGGCCCTTCTGAGCCCTTAATTTGAGGAGTCAGCCCCTTTTTCTCGATATCAAATGAAAGGTCTTGTAATTTTGAAGACTTTTTGTTCAAAATGTTTTAACAAAATACTTTTATTTAAAATGTTATTATAAGAAATGTCTCTAAAATTCACTCATAAATCACGTCCTAAATTTCGACCCCTACCGAGCTTCCATACTTTGCACTTCCGGAAAATTTGAAAACCAAGGTGCACATCTAGAACATGTCCTCTATCACCACTGAAAGTTTCAACCCTCTAGCATTTGTCGTTCTTGAGTTTTTGTGCAGATACAAGGTCTATGTAAAAATCGATCAAAGGGCGATAACTTCTGATCGGAAGTGATTTTTCAAAAACTGAAGCGGCGTTATAAACCTCAGATAGCAACGCATGAACCCTGAAAATTTGAAGCAAATCGATCGAGAGATCTCCGAGATATCTTCTGCACAAAATTGGTAAGGAAAAAAAAAAGAATAATAATAATAAAAAGAAAAGTGAAAAATCAACAATAGAATAATAGAAGGGTCTTCCGCAGAAGACGGAAGACCCTAATAAAAAGAAAAGTGAAAAATCAACAATAGAATAATAGAAGGGTCTTCCGCAGAAGACGGAAGACCCTAATAATAAAAAAAAAATGTGAAAAATCAACAATAGAATAATAGAAGGGTCTTCCGCAGAAGACGGAAGACCCTAATAATAAAGGTAAAAAAGAAACCGAAGAATAATAGAAGGGTCTTCCGCTGATGACGGAAGACCCTAATAAAAATGAAAAAGAAACCGAAGAATAATAGAAGGGTCTTCCGCTGAAGACGAAAGACCTTAATAAAACATAAGAGAAATCATTTCTCCTAAACAAATTACTAGTCGTTAAACATTTTTGGATGTTTCCGTAAAAGTCTATTTAAAAAAAAGAAATTGCTCTTCAAGCAGGGATCGAACTCAAAACCCTTGGGTTGAAAGGCAGGTGCGCTAACCATTAGGCCACGCATTCCGACAACAGTAGTAAGTTAAAATGTTTAGGACTATAGAATAGATGCAAGCGTATTTTTAGAATCGGTAGGGGAAGAAAGTAGTTCCGTAAAAGGAAATAGTTCCTGAACTTGCAAGCAGTATATAAAATAAGAAGGAACGGGCTGCGTGAGAAAACGTTAACACTGTTCCCTAATGAAAATGTATTAGTGGACTGTGGCCCGATTCATCGATATTGTGAGCATGCTGATTTTTTTGTAAATACATGTAGCTTTGTTGAAAGCTTTAAAGATCGGGTTCGGATTTTAGCATTTCTGACTGAATATCCTGAAATAAATATGAAACATTTAAATAAGCATTTCTTTGGGTTATATTAAATATATGTAGCACAAATTAAACTCCCAACATGCATTTTTAGAAGGGAAACACGACAATGAAAGCGAGAATTGTTTTTAATATATCGGAAATCGCTATTTCTGGAAACTGATTAATTCCAAATAAAAATCAAATAAATTCCACATGTAAAAGAAAGAGAGAATGCTCGTTATTAAAATGTCATATCATATCAGGAGAATCGAATGCTATTAACGACATCTGAAGAAATAGCCAATAAAAGGTTAAGATCATTTCTTCGTTCACCTGCACTTTAATTTCAAACACAACAGAACTTGTAGTTTTTGCCGTGAAACTTCATGACTTCTATATACTTATAAGACTCACCGTAAAACTTTCCAGAAAGTTTCTCTGAGGTCTATACTACATTTGTACCAAATTTGGTGTCGATCCGAGGTCTGGTTTGAATTTTACAGAAACGCAGTACAGTTAAGGTGCGCAATGGAAATATCGGCATTTTTTGTGATTAAAAAGATATTCTTAATCAGGATGGCGATTCTATTCAGTACTTTATTGATTTCCGACAAATGTAATTATGGTTAATAACTACATATTGAAGACGATAAGATTTTATATTTAGACTTGTCACGTGATGCGGATGTCACGTGATATAACACATATACTGGCAATATTGAGGTCACCTATAAATTTCACTAGTGCAAGGGCATAATCAAGTTAAAATTCTAAATTTAGAGTATAAATATTTTCAACACATATCGAAGTTTCTGAAAAGTGCTGCGATCCTCTATAGATTCTGCTATTTCATTGTTAAAATCATATTTATATGACCGCATTCTGTATTTTTTGCTGGTCAACGGCATTAAATATAGATATAAGTAATTCATTTTCAAGATTTCATCAGGATCGCAGCACTTTTCAGATACCTTAATACTTCTAGAGTTTATATGTAAAAGCTTACTGTGATCCATTGAGTGTATGCCCTTGCACTAGATCGATTTATTAAGATTATTAAGTAAATTTTGATAAAAGGGCGATAACTTCCGACCGGAAGTAAATATCCCTTAACGGAATTACCGGAATTAACTTCAGATGCCAACGCATCTACCACGAAAATTTGAATGAAATCGAACGAGCCATCTCCGAGAAATCGTCTGCACAAATTTTGTAAGAAGAAAAAAGAATAAAAATAATAATAATAATAAAGGTAAAAAAGAAACCGAAGAATAATAGAAGGGTCTTCCGCTGAAGACGGAAGACCCTAATAAAAGTGAAAAAGAAACAATACAATAATAGAAGGGTCTTCCGTTGGAGACGGAAGACCCTAATAATAATAAGAAAAAGAAACAATACAATAATAGAAGGGTCTTCCGCTGAAGACGGAAGACTCTAATAAAGGTAAAAAAGAAACCGAAGAATAATAGAAGGGTCTTCCGCTGAAGACGGAAGACCCTAAAAACATTGCATCCAATTTAATGACATCTGCAAATAATATTTTATTTAATTATAGAATACATTTTTCGTTGTGAAAATATTATTTGATCCGCCTCTCACTGCATACAAACTGCGTCAAGTCTTACGAAATGACGTCACATCGATACGTGCATCGCGATCAATGACTTGTTTATACCTTGTTAAAACAGCATGTTATAGTAAGTTTTGATGTAATTGATGATCTCCTACAGTTTTAAACAGCAAATCATTTTATTTTTTGTATTTTTAAGAATTGTTGGTTTTGTCTGATATCATACCGGTAGTTAATATTTCCAGTGCAAATAAGGCTCCACCGCCTTTTTGTAGCCTTAACTGTGCTGCGTTTTCAAGCTATGTAATATTTCCTGCCTGAAATGTAAAAATTCCTTTTGTGTCCAACTCACTTTGAAGTCTCTCTAGAAAATGCTCCTGTCTGACATTGCTTGTCATTGCTGTCTGATGCAAAGTACTGAAACTTTCCCAATTTTTGTCTTCATTTTTTTTCTGATTAAGGCTCGCTTTCATCCGAGAGATTCACTGAGACATTGCTTTTCAAGAGCATAAGTGACAGATATAAAAGACTATAGTCTCTCTTCAGAGCATCCTTGAATTTAGAAAATGCTGAATGGACAGGTAAGTTTGATGTTCATTGTTATTGTTTTTCAGGAATCAGCTGAATGGGGAGATCACTTGAATAGTTAACTTGTTCGTATGTCATCTTCGTTTATCATCTCTTGCAGCGTGATTTTAATTTCCAATAACTGCTCTTGTCCTTTGACCTTCCCTTCCATTTTTGATGATTCATCATCTATATTGATGAGTTGTTAAGTCAGTCGCTACTTTTCCTGCTCATGCCGCATTTCAAGAAGTAAATTACTCCTATCTGTATTCCGATTTTAACGGAGGCGTCTAAATTCGCAGGAGCCAGTTTTAAATGCGCCGCACATTTTATTCCAAACTTACTACTGGAGATTGCATCTTAGTTGGAATGCCTATATTTGGAAAAACAAGTACTTCGGCGAGGAATAATTGATTTTCCTCTTCAACGCTGATAAATTCTGCTTTGTCAAGATGACGAACTTCCGCTATTTGAATCCAAATCCTGTCGTGCTTTGAACATCCTTTTCATTTGTTACCATTTTGTGTTAAGATGCAGGATTTCTAGTTATAAATAATCCCCTTGATCCTTCATCAATTTTTTCCCCTTCACATAATACTCCTGTGGGTGTTTTAACTTCTGTCACAGCTGTTTTATTAGTATCTGGGCAGGTATTGTTATTAAAAATGAATGCTTAAAATCTGAGGCCTTGATGTAGTAACCATTTTAGTTTGTTGTTCTTTTTTATTGTAGGACCCTTTTTTTTTACAAATATTTGTTTGATTTTGCTTAATACATCAGAAACTTTGCCACAAGTGAAGAGTTTGTGTGCTTCCCAGTTTCAGTTTCTCATAATTCGCAATTTTTTTTAGACTCACTGGTTGTTTATACTAATAGCTAACACGTGCACCAAGATTTCCAGGTTCTGTTAAAGTTTGTGTGCGGAGGGGAGGGGGTCATCAATCATCATCGCTGTTAGGAATCGGACAGGGTATCAAATCTTACCCTGTCTGACTGAGATTGCTGGCAAAGCTATGGTGGAATCAAATTTCCAAGATCTCCTGCCAAAGTTAGAACTTCCCAAAAATATAAATTACCTTCATCATTTCTAAATTGTGCATTGTGGTGCAAACAATATAGGCCTTACAAGTACAAGGTACTTGCTGTATTCTATTAGATATGTTATGTCATCATTACTCCCCACCACAAAATAGATATCGTTAAGTAACGAATATCAGCTAAATGGATTGATTGATTGATTGTATGTTTAAACGTCCCATTCGAAAATCGTTCACTTATTTAGGAACGTCACTATATACTGGTGAAGAGTTTCAAATTTAGACCTTTACTTAACACTCAGGGCCTTTGAGTAATAAGCGTTCTTTGTCGTGCAAAAGAAAATGAAAAGAAAGCAGCTTTGATCATATCAAAACTCTTCCGTGATATGATAATCTTACCTATGTTGAGTACTCACTTTCCTATGTTGCGTTTTTCAAAGCATTCATCATTTCTTGTTTTAACACTCCCTTACTTAACCTCGCTATGGCCTAAAAAAATCGATTCAAAACTTGTTAAATTAATTTGGCATCGCAATCAACCAATAATTTCCAATATTCCATTTTAAAGCTTTACACTACAATAAAATATAATTTGCAAAAGTTAAAAATAAAGTAAATGATTTGATTGTTTACCAAATAAAATAATAAAATGCTGAAAAATTACACAATGGAAATCAAACGCGTTATAAAGATGTCAAATTAAAAACGCAGTGAAGCGTGTCTAATCCGAACTAGTTCCAAAGAAATTGGCCAGATTAGAAAACATTCCGGATTTGACAACATTTTACATAATTGCATTTACAGCAACGGACAAAATGTTTACACCGTATTAGACAAGATTTTGGATTGCACTACATTCCGATTAGACAAGTTTCACTGTACTTAAATCAAAATGCTTAATGAAAATTGAAAAGTTCAAAACTACCACGGGGGTAATTTATATCTGCATGTAAAAATAATTATGTAAAATCATCTCGATGCCATGAAAAGTGATGCAGGAATTCTACTCCTCTGTCACAGAAATAATTATTGTACACTTTCTCATAAAACCTTACCAATTTTCTACATTTGTACATAAGATCGAAGATTTTTTAATCATTATTATTCATATTAACCACGCGATTTTAGCACCCTTTTTCAAGTACAATAGATTTTTAAAATTGTAAAAGAAATAATACATTTTCACTATATTACTTATGCAGTCTCCAGAACCAGAACTCCAGAACTCTGGGGGCATGAATTTCATAATTTCAGAAGAAGTATACTTGCTCAACATAATTATTTCCTTAATTTGTTTGCTAAATCCCCAGGGCAGTGAAGAAGATTTTTATCGAATTCATTTAATTTTACTTTATGATCAACAGAGCCCTGTCCTCACACAAGAACCCTGACACTGGGGCCATGAATTTCACAATTCCTGAAGAGGCATCCTTGCTTATCATAACCATCACTTATAGTATCTGCTAAATACTCAAGAGGAGAGAAGAAATAATGCATTTTATTATATGATTGAATAATTCCCATCTCTATAATTGGCTGAGATCCAACAATATTAGAAAAATACTAGTTAAAATTGACCTGCACCTGACCTAGGTCAATATAAGGAATTATTTCAAAGTCAATATAAGGAATTATCTATTCTACATTGGACCAAAAATATATAATCATATAATTAAACAGTTATTGCTGTTTTTGAGGTCAATACGATGATTTAAACACCTTCGAAGTACAAAATTCACCTCGCCCTTCGGGATCGGTGAATATTGTACTCCTCATGCGTCTAAATCATCGTTTTGACCTCCAAAAACATCAATAATTGTATATCATTGTCAATACAGACCCACCCACCCCCTCTAAAACCACAACCCCTGACCCTGGGGCCATATATTTCACAATTTGTAAGAGGCATCCTTGTTCAGAATAACCATGCACTTATCTTGTTCAATAAATACCCAGGGGTAAAGAAGAAGATTTTGAATGAATTTATGCATTTTACTATATGATCAACAGAGCCCCGCCCTTCCTCTTACATGTCCGTAGACAGAGTTAGAATTTATGAGTTGTTTATATATTTTACTGGTTCAAGTGATTAATAAGGACAAATTAAAGATATTCTGAGTGAATCTACTACAGAGACATGTCCTCTACGGACTTTTGCTGGGGAATTGTATGTTATTTATCCTATTTCGTATAAATTGCGTTAAAGTGTGGAATATGTCCCCTTGTATGTGTGTAAGTTGACTTTCGCGTGAAATATTTTCTGAAAAGGTAAAATTCAGACTTGTCCCCGGCACTTTATACAAAAGATCACGATGAATTGACATATGTAACAAGCTTTTCACAATAATCAGACCAGAACCCCTGATCCTTCGACCATATATTTCATAATTTTGGAAAAGGAACCCTTGCTAATCTTATCCATGCTCTTAGTTTATCTTCTAAGTACACAGGAGCAGAGAAGAAGATTTTCAAAGAAACAATGCATTTTCACTCTATTCACCCCCCCCCCCCCCCCGACAATACCAACTTACCCTGAGGCGATGAATTTCATAATTCTGGAAGAGGCATCTTAGCATTACCATGCACTTATTTTTTTTTACTGAATACCAAGGAGCAGAGAAGACGATTTTTAAAGAAATTCTTCATTTTCACAAGTGATCATTAGAGCTTTACCCAAAGTTCCGAACCCCTTACCCAAGGGACATTGATTTCTTAAAGTTGGTAAAGGACTGTATGCTTATTACATACATGCTAACTCTTTAGTATCCAGGAATAGAGAAGGTGATTTTTAAGATTGCATCAATTTTGATGATCTTAGCCCTACCCTTCAGGCCCCAAAACAGTAGGATCATGATATTCACCCCAACCCCCTTATTGATAAATGCCCTATGCTAGAATTGGCTGAAATTCGTTCAGCGGTTTCAGAGAAGAAGCTGAAACTGTTCGAATGTTAAAACACGACGGACGACTGACGACGCAGAAGACGGAAAAAAGCAGAAAGCAAGAGGACACTTAAGTGACACAGGCAACCTAATAATAATTATACCAATAGAATTGAAATTGGGAAAACGCTTATACGCTTATATTTATCCTTTCTCTACAAATACAGTAAGTGAGAATATGTAAATGAAAACTAATATTATAGGTACATATAAGAAGAAAATGTTTTCAGATTTTGAACATTCTTGCTGGAAGTGGAATCGAAGAACAATCTCAAAAACTGTACTTTTTACATAAAAATAACACAAACAAAAACTAACGCAGGTGAGTTAAGGCTAGGTACATGTATAAGCAAATATACTAATCAAAATGTCTAAGGACTATATCTATTATACAGAGAAAGGTAAAACTTTTGATTTATACCTACCTGGTACCTACGACATGAGATAGCCAGTACATATAATGATGTCGTTGTTCTTTACTACACAAAATTATAATGGACATCAACAAAAATGCTTCGGCACAAGGGCATGCTCTATTTTATTTAACTGAAACAAGGTATATTGAGAAGCAAAATATTCCAAAATATTGCTGCACAAATCTCATCAGCTCAGTTGTATAATTTCTATTTGTAAAGTTTTAAGTTAAATCAGGGTAAAAATTTACAGTCTAGTATGAGGTTCCTCAAATTCCAATCAAATGAGAAAATGCCTAGGATTTGTTCAGCAGTTTTATTAATCTATAAAATATTCTTCTTAGCATTATGCAATTTTTATGTAAATTCAAATAGGGTAATCCCTTGCACCGAAGCTGTTTTGTTGATGCGTTTTACTACCTCCAGTAGGTAAGAGCAATGGCGTCATAATATGACGTCATAATTTGTACTAGCTATAACATATCGTGGGTACTAAGTATGCATAAGAAAATAAATCAAAACTTTCTCTAAATAATAAGTATAACTCTTATGCGTTTTTATTAGGTCATTTGCATAGAAACGCCTATACCTAGCCTTAACTCACATGCGAAGCTCACTCATTTATTTGAGTTCACGTAAAGATTGGATTTCACTGAAACAAAGATACTCTATATAAAACATAGATGTAAAAAAAATCTGGTTTTAAATCTTTTGCTATAAACCATAAACTTTTGAACATAATGAAACGTGTCTTCTGAAGAGCAGCAACCCATAATTTTATGGAAACACCCTGTGTGTAGATTAAAGTTTGTTCAAGTCATGATCCCTCCTCCTCCGGGAGAAGGAGTAGGATGACGCCATAGTGGGCAATCAAAATATTACATAGAAATATACAGGAAAATCTTTTGAAATAGGGTGAGTTATCCATGCATCATACACATACCTTGCTTCGGACAATTTTAAGCACTAGACTAAAAGTCTCCGCGTGTTTTTACTTGTTTCTGTATGAAAGGTGAAGATATAAACTTTTTAATGATGCAGATTTTTATTTTCATGTTGTGAAAAAAATACCACAAAAATGCCTTTAAAATTAAGGCATATTTTGCATCATGAAAGGGGAGTAACCAGAATTTTACGATTTTGCAATTTTTAGAGTTGTCATTCTTTTAAATAGACTTCATCGGAACGAGACGGACCTAGGTAAAATTTGTCAATCATTGATAAGTTTAAAGATTTTTTTTTTTCAAAAATATTACTTCAATGTGTGTATAATATTTATAGAGTTGTTTTTTACTAGTATGGTTTTTTTCACAGTACATCGGACACAAATCAACCATGTATCGGACACTTTCCGATGCATGGGTAATCGCTTCCATTTTCATATAAAACCCAAATGACAGCTGTTTTTACGGAAATTGAAAATAGAAACTCTGAATTTTCAGTGAAAATACATGTTATCGATATATGACGACTAGAAGTGGACTCAATTTTATTTCTCTAAAGTAGATGATAACTCATGAGACAAAGGCGCGAGTTGCCATATTACTAGCATTGTAAAGCCTTTCTAAGGCGATGTGATGCAACTAAAACTTCTTCACATTTGTGCATCGAAATAGTCATTCAAATTTATCTAGAAGGTTGATTTTTAAATAAAAGATAAAAATGTTTCCATATCACTAATTTTAAAGCACTGAGATCAAGGTATAATATTATTTCTGGTTTAAATACTGTATGTCCGATGCATGGTGAATATTGTCCGATCCATGGTGAATTCTGACTTATTTCGAAAAAATCGGTTTTTAGTGATATTTTCTCAATAAATAGCACACGATTGTGTCAAAAAATTATATTTTAAGTACATGCTACATGTTAATTTTCATTTTGATAATATTCGGTCGTAGCGATATCGCTATAATTTGTTATGGTACGAGAGTGTCCGATGCATGGAGAATTCACCCTTTTTCAAGTACATCATTGACATGATCAGTCATATGGATATAGAAGCATCCTTGGGTAGCATATATTCAATTCTATTCAAATCATGATCTATGCGGGCAGAGTGGAGCCACAATACACTGTATGCGATCAAAGATTTATATAGAGGAAAACATCTGCTGTTGAAGAAAAGCAGAGAGATAGTGACTCAGATGAGCGTTTGTGCCCGTAAGCCTCTTGGATTGGACATCTAAGTATTTTAATCAGAGAATTAAACATATAAAATTAACAATTATATTGATTAAAGATTAGTTTGCTACCTGCATCAAATCTCTTCCTTTTTCCTCTAAGTCTTTTCTATCTAATTTTCGTGTTGCTTCTGGTTCATGCACAACTTGATTTCTGTAAATTCGAATTCTTTCTACGTCGTCAGTCTCGCTTGTATCACCTGTATCTGGAGTTTTCCCCCAGCCTTTAGTCGGTGGTGTCAGACATGGATTACGGTTTCGTAACATCTGGTACATCATCGTCACATCAAAGGATTGAGAAGATGGATTAGATTTATCAGCTAATAAGAGATAAAATGTAATTCTTGTATTGATTGTTGGTCTTTAAGTTTAGAAAAAAAAAACATATTTCACAGTGCTTGCTATTCAATACAAATTAATAATTACACATGGATGACAGTAGACGTTTTATTTTTTAAATTTTCTATACAAGTTTTGAGAGCTGACAGCAATATTACTACTGCCATTTGTTTTCTGTTGTCGTTTTTAAATCTGAATTCTTAGTGTGAAGAAAGTTTCACCAAAAAGATATATACCTGGAAACAGTCTAGCAGACTGATTGTCATTCAAACGGAAGGTTTTCTTCATTCTTTCCTTTACATTTGACATGTTGATAAGGTCCTGTAGTGGAAATACCGTATCGAAGTAGATCTGCAGGGAATTTCGTCCAACCTTGGTCAAGTTCTCGAATGTTTCAAAATGGAATCTTCGTAGTCCTTCCTCGTAAAGATAGATGAAGTTGTCACCATGCATACCAGCAACTACTTTGAGAAAACGTAGTTTTATGTCCATTGAATAACTTGTTTAACGCTATATTTTGATAAAGTTTTAGAAACTCGATTTGATATTTTGATATAATGTGAACGCACAATACATAGATCTAGAACGCATACCATGGATTGGGCAACTTTGACAAAATAAAGAAAGCAAGTTAAATGAACAAATCATTTTTTTAATTTGATTTGTGTAGATAGAAATTTTTAGTGACTAGAATCTTGTTTTAGATCAAAGGGAATCACCGTGGGAGATACATGTATTTATATGTCACGTTATCATTATGGTTTGGGGCATTTATTTTATACAGACCTTTTTCAACGGTGACCCATTTAACCCTTGATAGTTCACGTTCTCATTGTACAGAACATCCCCCCCCCCCCAACACAACACAACATTTAAGGTCGTTTAATGTAAGTATTTTTAAATATTAATTAGTTTGTTTTTTTTTATTTGTATTACTTCAGGTAAGTGAATCAAGTTCGAATCCCACTGTGGGACATGGAGACCGGTCCTTCGGATGAGACCGTACAACCGAGGTCCTGTGTCGCAGTAGGTGCTGCCACGAAAAAGATCCCTCACTACTCAATGGCCGTGTGTGCCGAGTATAGGACAAACTTTGCAGCTCTCCACCGGCAAGTGGTGGCGTCTCCATATAAGTGAAAAATTCTCGAGAGGGACGTTAAACAACATACAAACAAACAAACAAACAAACAAACCTTCCTTGAATAAACAGTCTTTTGCATGGTACATGTATTGTGACTATTTTCTGAGCATTTTTCATTATTGTTTATAAAAGTTGTTTGCGCGGATAAAATTATTTCAACCAATGTTTACTTTGCATTTTTCCCCATACTTTTGATAGAAATCTCTAATGTTGATTTAATGTTTATATTAAAGACTTATTTTAGTCTAAATCTAAATATTTTTGCTAATAAATCAAACCATTATTGCATAAAAAAATTCACTAAGTTTGATTCAGTGTACCCTCTGATCTAAGGGTAAAGGTCACAAATATGTAATATATATTTAATAGTGCTATTTTCCTTTTTTTTTTTTATAATGCTTAAATGTTGCTGACTTATTTGAAGTACTTTTTTGCATTTGCTTTACTAGGAAATAAAGTTGTAAAAACTTGCACAAAATAAATTTGCTACCCGCATATAATTCTTAATTTTGTCCAAGTGATTTTGATCGTTACTGTAGCGCAATCGGTAGAACGCTCGCTCCGTGATTGGGAGGTCGTGAGTTCAAATCACGGCTGCGACTTAGCTAAGTCGACAAAAACAAGAGGCCCAGGGGCCACATCGCTCACCTGAGCACTATGGCTAGGAAAAAGCAGAAATCACTTCAATCTTGAAAGGTTAAAAAGTTTAAATATAAAAGTGGTTGGGGGGGGGGGGTGTCATGAATTGAACAAATTTGAATCTACATTATCTGAGGATGCTTCCAATTAAATATGACCAATCATGGCTTTGCTGTTCTTGAGATTTTTAAAGATTTAACCTATGTATTCCTATGTAAAACTTTGATCACCTATTGTGGCCCCACCCGACCCCCAGGGGTCATGTTTGAACAAACTTGAATGTACACTATCTAAGAATGCTTCCATATAAATATGACCAATCATGGCTTTGCTATTCTTAACAAATAGTTTTTTTTAAAGATTTTTACTATGTGTTCCTATGTAAAACTTTGATCGCCCATTGTGGCCCCACCCGACCCCCGGGGGTCATGATTCGAACAAATTTGTATGTACACTATCTGAGGATGCTACCATATAAATATGACCAATCATGGCTCTGCTATTCTTAACAAATAGTTTTTTTTAAAGATTTTTACTATGTGTTCCTATGTAAAATTTGATCGCCCATTGTGGACCCACCCGACCCCCGGGGGTCATGATTTGAACAAATTTGAATGTACACTATCTGAGGATGCTTCCATGTAAATCTGACCAATCATGGCTTTGCTGTTCTTGACAAGAAGATTTTTGAAGATTTTCCCATATATTCCTATGTAAAACTTTGATCGCCCATTGTGGACCCACCCGACCCCCGGAGGTCATGATTTGAACAAATTTGAATGTACACTATCTGAGGATGCTTCCATGTAAATGTGACCAATCATGGCTTTGCTGTTCTTGAGAAGAAGATTTTTGAAGATTTTCCCATATATTCCTATGTAAAACTTTGATCGCCCATTGTGGACCCACCCGACCCCCGGGGGTCATGATTTGAACAAATTTGAATGTACACTATCTGAGGATGCTTCCATGTAAATGTGACCAATCATGGCTTTGCTGTTCTTGAGAAGAAGATTTTTGAAGATTTTCCCCTGTATTCCTATGTAAAACTTTGATCGCCCATTGTGGCCCCACCCGACCCCCGGGGGTCATGATTTGAAGAAACTTGAATCTACACTACCTGAGGATGCTACCATATAAATATGACCAATTATGGCTTTGCTGTTCTTGAGAAGAAGATTTTTAAAGATTTTTCCTGTATATTTCCTATGTAAAACTTTGATCGCCCATTGCGGCCCCACCCTACCCCCGGGGGTCATGATTTGAAGAAACTTGAATCTATACTACCTGAGGATGCTTCCACATAAGTTTCATGTTTTCAAGCACAGTGGTTCTTGAGAAGAAGATTTTTTAATGATGCCATTAATTTTTCACAAATTCTTAATTATCTCCCCTTGGAAGAAGGCGTGGCCCTTCATTTGAACAAACTTGAATCCTCTTTACCCAAGGATACTTTATGGCAAGTTTGGTTGAAATTGGCCCAGTGGTTCTTGAGAAGAAGTCAAAAATGTGAAAAGTTTACAGACGGACAGACGGACAGACAGACGGACAGACGGACTACAGACAAAATGTGATCAGAAAAGCTCACTTGAGCCTTCGGCTCAGGTGAGCTAAAAAGGAGCAACTGTTCCTTCGCCAAGCGCTCGGAAGTGAAAATGGGGGTACTTCGGTTGAGGCCTTAAAAACCGAGGTTTAGTGTCACGGCAGGCGTTGGCACGATAAATCCCTCATTGCTCGATGGCCCTGAGTGCCGAGTAAAGGTCTAAATCTGAAGCCCTTCACCGGTATATGGTGACATCTCTATATCAGTGAAAAGTTTTCGAATGGGACGTAAAACAACATATCAATCAATCAATCAAATTGATGTTAAGAATGCAACAACCTAATGTGTTTTACGGTATTCTATTTTATAGTGGCAAAGTCCCCAATTTGTGTCATCCAGTTGATATCTTTCTTTGTAAAACTCTACACAAACATGTGACACTGCGGCATGAGTACATATTTATAATGCAAAACCTTTTTGTGGTACACATGTGTTTATATCTTTATATTACTTGTTTTATTTAGTGGTTTATTCGACACAGTCTGATCAAGTCATTTATAAGGCACGGATTCCCCATCTGCTACTGCTAGCGATCTTAATCTCGAGCTTTTACAGATACATGCATACTCATACTCAAATTTACGGTTGGGAATCATTGCAAATAAGACCATGTCAGTTTTCTGTTATCCTCTGAAAATACATATTATCTGAAGTTTCGTATTTCGTATTTGTCGTCTAAGCGGTAATTTTAGCCCAAATAAAGCCAAGCAATACAGAGATGAATTATTTCTAAACTTTATGAAAAAAAGTCTTTTTCACCACCTCCTCTTGACTTTTCAGCAAACCTGGAAAAACAACCTCGAGTATGTTATCCAAGCGTCCATGACAACCCCCTTTTCGCAAAGATGAAATAAATGTAGGTGGTTGTTTATCAAAAAGTTAAATGTAACCCTATCGAATGCAACATATGATATATAAGGTTAATCTGAATTTCAATCAGAGACAATCAACTTTGTCTAGCCATACTTTGATGGGACGCAATTAAATTTTGTACAAAATTTTAATAACTGGGGAGGTAAACTATTCCAAGCTTGTCCATAATGTTTGAGAAGACGCGATTGCTAGAAAAATGTATTACACAGGAAAATTTAGACTAGGCACTCATTTTCCCCCAATCCTAACAAAATGATACTACTACTTAAGTTTAGATAACTATGGTCATCTTTAATGATAAATGTGTCACTATGGAAACTACTGTTAAATATAGTGATAACTTTGACACTTTGATTTACTATAGTGATAACTTTGACACTTTGATTTACTATAGTGATAACTTTGATACTTTGATTTACTATAAAAACTTTGATTTACTATAGTGATCACCATGACACTATGAAAACTTTCATTTACTATATTGATCACTATAGAATCTTTGATTTACTATAGTGAAAACTTTGACTCTATCAAAATTTTGAAATACTATAGTGATCACAAAAAAAATTATTTACTGAAGTTATCACTCAAATATGCTTTATACCATTGTATACTAGAAGATTACTCTATACGTCTTGTTTGATTTACTTGACATAAACTGATACAATTAATTAACAATAAAAAGGCCAGTTAAAATAAAAGTAAACAATTTTCATTCTAG